CTACCTGGTGGTGAGTTGGCTCCGATGGTGGGGGAGGATGCCGGTCAGACCTGGAAGACCCAAACGTATTGTGAGGGTTTGCTGGGAATGTCTGGCAGAGTCTCTTGTGAGACGGAGTTTCAACTCCCACCTCCGGGAGAACTTTGAACATGTTCCGAGGGAGGTGGGGGACATTGAGTCTGAGTGGACCATGTTTCGTGCCTCTATTGTCGAGGCGGCTTACCAGAGCTGCGGCCGCAAGGTTGTCGGTGCCTGTCGCGGCGGCAACTCTCGAACCCGATAGTGGACACCGTCGGTGAAGGATGCTGTCAGGCTGAAGAAGGAGTCCTATTGGGCCTTTTTGGCCTGTGGGACCCTGGAAGCAGCTGATGGGTACCAGCAGTCCAAGCAACATGCGGCTCGGGTGGTTGCTGAGGCAAAAACTCGGGCATGGGAGGAGTTCAGAGAGGCCATGGAGAATGACTTCCGCACGGCTTCGAGGCGATTCTGGTCCACCATCCGGCGTCTCAGGGGGTTAAAGCGGTATGCCACCAACACTGTTTATAGTGGGAGTGGTGTGCTGCTGACCTCAACTCGGGATGTTGTGGGTCGATGGGCGGAATACTTTGAAGACCTCCTCAATCCCACCGGCACGTCTTCCACTGAGGAAGCGGAGCCTGGGGACTCTGGGTCGGGCCCTCCAATCTCTGGTGCTGAGGTCACCGAGGTGGTTAAAAAGCTCCTTGGTGGCAGGGCCCCGGGGGTGGATGAGATTCGCCCAGAGTTCCTTAAGGCTCTGGATGTTGTAGGGTTGTGTTGGCTTACGCGACTCTGCAATATTGCGTGGACATCGGGGGAAGTTCCCCTGGATTGGCAGACCGGGGTGGTGGTCCCCCTATTCAAAAAGGGGGACCGTAGAGTGTGTTCCAACTACAGGGGAATCACACTCTTAAGCCTCCCTGGTAAGGTCTATTCGGGGGTTCTGGAGAGGAGGGTCCGTCGGATAGTCGAACCTCGGATTCAGGAGGAGCAGTGCGGTTTTCGTCCTGGCCGTGGAACACTGGACCAGCTCTACACTCTCAGCAGGGTCCTGGAGGGTACGTTGGAGTTTGCCCAACCAGTCTACATGTGCTTTGTGGACTTGGAGAAGGCGTTCGACCGCGTCCCTCGGGGGACCCTGTGGGGGGTACTCTGGGAGTATGGGGTACGGGCTGTTAGGTCCCTGTATGACCGGTGTCAGAGCCTGGTCTGCATCGCCGGCAGTAAGTCGGGCTTGTTCCCGGTGAGAGCTGGACTCTGCCAAGGTTGCCCTTTGTCACCGATTCTGTTCATAACTTTTATGGACAGAATTTCTAGGTGCAGCCAAGATGTTGAGGGATCTGTTTTGGTGGCCTTAGGATTGCATCTCTGCTTTTTGCAGATGATGTTGTCTTATTGGCTTCATCAGATCGTGATCTACAGCTTTCGCTGGAGCAGTTCGCAGCCGAATGCGACGCGGCCGGGATGAAGATCAGTTCCTCCAAATCCGAGGCCATGGTCTTGAGCCGGAAAAGGGTAGAGTGCCCTCTCCGGGTCAGGGAGGAGGTCCTACCCCAAGTGGAGGAGTTCAAGTATCTTGGGGTCTTGTTCACGAATGAGGGAAAAATGGAGCGTGAGATTGATAGGCGGATAGGTGCAGCGTCTGCAGTGAAGCGGGCGCTGTACAGGTCTGTCGTGGTGAAAAGAGAGCTGAGCCAAAAGGCGAAGCTCTCAATTTACCTATCGATCTATGTTCCTACCCTCATCTATGGTCACGAGCTTTGGGTTGTGACCGAAAGAATGAGATCTTGGATACAAGCGGCCGAAATGAGTTTTCTCTGCAGGGTGTCTGGGCTCTCCCTTAGAGACAGGGTGATAAGCTCGATCATCCGGGAGGGACTCGTAGTAGAGCCGCTGCTTCTCCACGTCGAGAGGAGCTAGTTGAGGTGGCTTGGGCATCTGTTTAGGATGCCTTCTGGATGCCTCCCTGGTGAGGTGTTCCGGACACGTCCCACCAGAAGGAGGCCCAGAGGAAGACCCAGGACACGCTGGAGGGACTAAGTTTCTTGGCTGGCCTGGGAACGCCTCGGGATTCCCCCAGAAGAGCTGGCCCAAGTGGCTGGGGAGAGGGAAGTCTGGGCCTCCCTACTTAGGCTGCTACCCCCGCGACCCGACCCCGGATAAGCGGAAGAATATGTATGGATGAACAGAAAAGTCATTTCAAGAATTTGAAGACATCTCTGAGGTCAAAGGTTAAGACTGAAAGTCAGTATTGGATGGTCATACTCTTTGGGCCCTCAGGGGCCTCTGCATTAAAACAGGCCTGGAAATTATTGCACAGGCTCAGGAACAATTCCACAAATCATGGTCTGTAAACACAGTTCACTATCTCACCCACAATTGCTGATTAAAGCTCTATCATGCAAAGAAAAATCTGAATGGGAGCACCATCCAGAAATGTTGTCATCTTTTCTGGACCAAAGCATAGTTAAAACCGTTCTCTGGTTAGACAAATGGAAGTTTGAGATTAATTTTAGAAAACACAAGTGCCATGTCCTTTATAGTAAAAAGTAGTGAACCACTGGCCTGTGATCAGCACACACATCAAAAGCGAGCCTCTCTCATGGTATGAGGGTGCATTAATTCCTCTGGCATGGGCAGATCTGGAAGGGTGCCATCATTGCAGAAAAGTATATACAGGTTTTAGAAAACATGCTCTCATCTAGACTTTTTCTTTTCAACGAAGGCTTTGTACTATATTTCAACAAGACTATGCTAAATCACGTACTGTACTGCTTATATGGGAAACATGGTCCTGTCCCAACTACTTCAGACACACCTCAGCTGTGAAATTCAAAATTACTTTTATTAAACTGCACTATTTTTAGCTTAAACATTTTAAATGTTTACTTTGCAAATCATTGCATTTAGTTTTATTTATATTTCACTCAACGTCCAGCTTCGACATGGAGGGTTGTGAAACTCCTCGCATGTAATTTCTTACACAGTCTGGTTTGTCTCTTCTCCACAGATATGGGACTTCTCTGACTTGGGTCAGCATGCCCTTCAGGTTGATGATGATCACTGCACCCAGCACAGACTGTGAACACATAAAGAGAAACAACTTTATTTAGACACTTGAACTATAAGAATGACCAAAGTCTTTAACATTTTAATGCCCACAGCCACAAATATACTAGCTATAGCATTTTTGTCCACAACTTTTTGTTTATGTCTTGTTAACAAATTAGCCTATATACCACAAAATAAATTTGAATAAAACACAGACAGTGAGCATTGGATGTGTGTTCACAATCTTTGGTAGTCAGTTCCATTCAAAGACCAGAACAGCTAACTGACCTTGGTTAACATCAATAATGACTTTAACTCAGGAAAATAGAATATTTTGAGCTAACTTTTGATATGATAGTAGCTGTTAGAGTCATTCAAAATGCATAGTCAGACTGTGACATCTCCCAGTGTCACATGAGAATGCAGCCTAATGTTTTTTTCAAGACTTGACCAAAACGTCTACAACTCCCATCTCTGTGTCATAAGATGATCTTGATTTAAAACATCTGGCATTAAAGCAGCAAATAACATGAAATTATTAAACAACTGCAAGATATTAATTAATTGGGGACTGCCTGAAGGCAGCCACCTATTATTATACACCTAACAAAGGGTTTCTTAACTTTATCTTACTCCTCCGTCAACTTTAATGCGTCCCGAACCAAAGCATGTACCACCACAAGTGTTATATCAGAACGACTGGCTCAGCGCCGTGATGTGTGCTATTACTTTTATTGGCATTTCGAGTTATCGTGGCAATTTGCTAATAAAGATGTCATTTTTCTTATTGAGAAACATTGACAGAACTCTTCACAGCCTCTAACTGCCACAGTGAGGTCACATGGCGTAGAATGGAGAGGTCTCTGAACAAAAGACTGATTAACTTTAGGAGTCATTTTGGATCAAGTTGGCTGCCACAGCTAAAAATATGATAACTCACTTCTTTTAAAATATTGAGGTGAAATATGGTGCGGTGGTAACTGACAGTGATGCACAACACATTCTGAATTCAAATCTGAAAATGCAAGATGGCTCCAGAAGCTAATTTCAAATAGATATAATTCAGAGGTTTTAAGAGTGGTTAAGCTAAAGTTTGGTGTATTGGTGATAGCTGAGACCAACCCCTAATAGACTCTGATTGCAAATCAAAAATCCAAGATGGCTGCCTGAGCTAAAAAGGAAAAATACTATAAGTTAGCCATTTTTAGATATTAAGCTGAAATTTGGTTTGGTAGTAGCTGAGAGCAATGCCCTCCCAAATACTGAATTCAAACAAAAAAATCCTAGATGGCAGCCAAAGCTACATTTAAATGGCTTTAACTAATTTTTACTCATAGAGCTGAAAATTAATGTGGTTATAGCTGAGAATGTTCCCCATCACCTACTGAATCCAAATCAAAAATCCAAGATGGCCACCACAGCTTAAAAGAAAAAAAAAGACTATAACTGATTATTTGCCACATTGAGCTGAAATTTGGGAAGTTGGTAGCTGAAAGCAAACCCCAACACATAGTACTGTCAAATCAAAATTTCAAAATGGCCACCACTTGGCAGTCCCTGTCAAAGTTTCTCCAGAAACTTTCTAGTTACATATTTTGTGCAGGTGGGTGTTTGAAGTTTGCATGCCTTTGGTAACGGCTCCAGAAGAAATCCAACCGCCAAGGTGACGATCATGACGATGATAGCTGAAAGTAAACCAGCCACCTGGAAACGAGGGAAGAGGTTTTAAACTGGAAAAAGTACAAAACAAAGTGCGACAATAAAAAAAAAACATATTGATGCTTCGAGCAGGTTAAAATTGTGTTGCAAAATTGTTTAGTAGGTACAATATACTCCTCAAAGTCTTTTTCTCTTATGGTGGTTTCTTGATCATCTCATCACCTTTACATTGCCTTTTGTAAAAATAGTTTTTCATTGAGAAAATGATCAAATTCATCAGAACTAGATAAAGTTCTGTCAAAATACAGAGTGGATGTTGAGTACCGATGAATCTGAAGGAGTTTGTGGCTGCGATTCTACATTATTGGAAGTAATAAGTTGAATGGACAGTCCCTAACAATGTTTTTGAAGGAATTAGTTTTAATTTAAAAACAAAAATAACTTATTTCATTCTTCATTTTCATGAGGGATTAAAAAAAAATACCATACAGCCATGCATTTGGCATTTTTCACTTTATCCTCGAATCCCTTGTGAAAATGAATAATGAAACAAGTTTTTTTTTTATTCTCAATTAAAAAACAAAAAGTAAAAAAACAAACAAACAAAAACAAAAACACAACAAAAAACACCACTTATTGTTTGACCTAATTTAATTCCGTTTTTTTTTTCCAAATGTAATTCAGTTTTTTCAAATGTTGTCCAGTTACACCTCAGGGCCACATGAGATATCAAACCATTTTTAAGGGGAAATATTTAAATTAGGATAAATCTTTTTTTTTTCAAGTTTTAAAGTAAACAAAACCAAACAAAAGTCATGGCCCAGATGTCACAAACGAGCTCAACATTTTCAGGTTTGAATGGTGAAAATAGCCGAAAGCATGCAGAAATGGTTACTTGTCAAAAAAGGCATGATAATAAGTAAATAATTAAAAAAACAGAAGCATCTCTATTAAAACATGCATATTAGTTTACCTGAGTTTTCCCCCCTGTACTTTCTTGTACTGCACTTCTGGAAAGAGATGTACTCGCTGCAAAAGCCTTGAAAGAAGCTCCAAAAATGTTGCTAACTCCAAAGGCTATCAACTCCTACAACCGAGTCAGAGAAGAAGATGTGTTTGTTGTTTACTAAATCACACAGATTCTTATGGCCAGTAGATTTTACCAGTAGCGTAGCTGTTACAGTAATGCAACGTACCTGGTTCCCATCTATTGTGTAATCATGTTTTATAGAGTACACTTTAGCTACAGAGAAAGCCACAGCAAAGCCCACTATAGCCATTGGAAATGCTTCCACTGCTGACTCCTGGATGATTTGGATGTTTGGGGCCACTGGAGCCTCGTACCTGAAATGGTAAAAATCAATCAGACACCGGATTATTCATGGATCTAAAATTAAAGACTCTTTCATTTGACATTTACAGCAGTGACACCAACGACATTTGTATTGAGCATGTTTAAAGATTCCAGTGCAAGCAAATGCAGAAAAGAAATGCTCAGAGACACAGCAAACAACCTCAAATGTAAGTCAAATTAAAAACAGCATTCATGAATGAATGCATATCGCCCGCCAACATTTTTTGCCAGAGTTAAAAACCAAGATCATCTGATGATGCCAAACAATTGTTAGTTATAGCAGTTGGTCAAATTGTGAAAATGACAATGTACAATCTCATATGATGTCACAAGATGTCATGTACAGAGTATGAGTTTTGAATAACTCCCACCCACATCAAAATATAATTCCATACACCCATATGTCATCCATCCATCCATCCATCCATCCATCCATCCATACATCCATCCATACATACATACATACATCCATACATACATCCATACATCCAAACATCCATCCATCCATCCATCATCCATCCATCCATCCATCATCCATCCATCCATCCATCCATCCATCCATCCATACATCCATACATCAATACATCCATACATCCATACATACATCCATACATCCATACATACATTCATACATACATATATACATTCATACATACATACATACATACATTCATACATCCATATATGGATGGCTGTGGCTAAGTGGTTAGAGCTGTAATCCTCCAATGCAAGAGTTGGGGGTTCAAATCCACCAGCAGTCACATGCCAAAAAGTCCCTGGGCAAGACACTGAACCCCTCATAGCCTCTGATGTGTGTCCCATCAGTGTATGAATGTGATAAAGCTCTGATTAGTCTCTTTTGAAATGATTTGTTCAATTAGCTTTGTAAAGATAAATTAGAGTGCTGTATGAATGGGTAAATGAGGACACAGATTGAAGTGTAATGTGCTTTGAGTATCTCAATAAGATAGAAAGGTGCTATATATGTACAGTCCATTTACCATTTACCATCCATCCATCCATACATACATACATATATACATCCATACAACCATACATATATACATCTATACCTACATCCATACATACATCCATACATAAATCCATACATACATCCATACATCCCTCCATCCATCCATCCATCCATCCATCCATCCATCCATCCATACATACATACATACATACATACATACATACATACATACA